ATTGGGTCGTCTGTTTTGGGGCCGAAATAAAACTAAACCGAACATATTTATCGCCGCGAGTCTGTCATAAATTTGTTTTATAGAAGACAGCATTATCAAATTGACCGAAAAACATTTCATTATGGGAAAGAAAGCTCGGGACAAACTAGAAAACCGAGCCAAGCACTATCTGTTCAGAAACGACTTGGGCAATTAGTTATGGTATCTATATAGCTGCAGGGGATACATCTTTCGGATGGATTGCGTGTGGGACGGGCAGATGCAGGAGATCGGGAAAACTCATCTGCGACATTGTCGTCACCGTTGAGCACTTAAATCTTTCGATTGCCGCTTTGGGACTTCCCGTCCCCCTATCTTTCCTCCGTTTTTGGATCCATAAATATCGCCAAAAATAAATGCGACGACACAATTTTTGTTGAAATTAAAACAACTCATAAATTGAGAGGAGGATCATATAGAATGGCTTTGCCTCTAAGAATTCATCAAAATGTTGTGCATATTCTTGGAAATTTAAAAAAAATAGAGCGATTGCTTATACTCAAGCGTCAATAAATTATAAGTTATTTTGTGAAAAAATACTTGTTGAGATGAGCGAACAAAAAAAAAATAGAATTTGCCACCAATGAATGAGGGAACTTTCAGAACATCTTAGCTCTTGGGAAAACTATTTAGCCGTAAAATGTTTCCTAGGCCAAATTAGATCCAGTGACTTTGATCCCGTGTAACTCTATACGGTCTTCAGTCATAGGATGCCGCCAAACTGTCCAGTCAATTATCAAATTAATTAGCTAAGCCTATCTTAGAGTCAGTCAAGTAGGAGCTCCTAATTGCAATTGCAACATGAGCTTGCCGGTGAACGAGGCTCTTCGATCTGGATGAGGCATCAAATCAAGTGCGTAAAGTTATTGGACAGACTGTGGAGAAAGGCGGAAAGAGGCAGGGAGGGGAGCAGACTTCTGAGCTCCATCAAAAGTGCAATCGAAGCGACAGCAACTAGCGATCTCACGATTTATAATCACCCATCACGGCCAGAGCGACAAAACCTGACAGCCTGAGCTGCTAATGAATGATTGATGTGTGTGGCGATTGCAAAAGGAGAGATGCAAGTGGAGGAAACCGCGGACAAGGAGGCACTGAAAAAAATCCAGCATAAGCTATAAAGTTTTGTTATAAAATAAAAGAGCAATAATGATAATTATACAGTTTTAATTTATAAAAAAAACTTTATAGCATATGCTAGATTTTGTGTTAAAATCGCAATCGAAGTTATGTTGACTACTTCATTTATATATTTTAATATTACTTTTCGAAATATTGTACTTTTTCAAATTTTTTTTAAATTTATTTATAGTGTTGTTAGCACTATTTAACACTTTTGAAATACGTTGATTGTTTTTACGGATATTAAAAATCGGATATCAGGTTAAATATTAATTTTGCCCCCAATTAATCGCTGGAAATTTTCTAAGTGCAGAAAACGCAAGATTGTGCAATTTGTTGACCTTGCATTTGCATTAATCATCATTGATTGATCACTGGACCCGACTAAGTACTGGCCGAAGCTTTTGCGGTAGCGCTCGAGCAAGAATTTGATATCAGTCGAATGAATGACTGACTGACTGGCTGACTGACTGAGTGGCTGACTGACTAACAGACAGAGTGGCCGTGGCTTTGGCCGGGTGACTAATTAGTGCGACGAGCAGGAGGAGAAGGAGCAGATCCAGCTTATACGGCCTATATGGACTATATGGCGTATATGGCCAGCATCCGATCCGGATCCGCCTTGATTGATGGCACCGCGAAATTCAAGAACACAGCTGCTGTCAAGTCGTCGCGAAAAGGATTAGTTTGGAGCGATGTGAGTCGACGGGATGGGGATGGAGTCGAAGATGGGGGATAGGGATGGAGATGAGGATGAGGATGGGGATCGGGATGCGATCAAATGGTGCCGACACATCAGCTCCCAGAATAAAGTTGACACTGGCAAAGTTCGCGCTGCGGGCTTGATGGATCAGGGGTCTTCCGAGGGACAGGGACCCAACTCCAAAGCATATTCCATCAGCTGTCACAAGATATGTCACTGTCAGTGCAGAGGAGATTTGCGCAGAATTCTCCGCTTCCTGCAGCCTCTTCTCAGTTCTCAGTTTTCGGGGCCAAATTCGCTCGACTCGCTCTTTTTCGCTTTTCGGGGAGATTGACAAGGGAACGCTGCTAATCCAATTTAATTTGAATGTCAGTTCGTCTGGAAGACAGACTCGGCTCCAGTTGAGTTGATCCGACTCCCCGAACTCTCCAACTCCCCAACTCCGGCCACTCCGACCGGAGATGAAGATTCATGGGTATTAAGGAACTTCTTCATCTGATTTGCCTTTCACTCTTACTACTAATTTCATTGTTTTTGCCTTCGCAGCCGCTGCTGTGGCGGCATTTCAAATTTGTTTCCCAGACACATGTTCGACTTAATTTGGTTCACTAAGTTTTTGGAAACGAGCGAGGAGCCTTGGCGGGAATTTTGAAGGCCCAAATGCGGAATGCACACGGCCAACAGAAGCCGAGGAGCGTTTGAATCGCTCGAAATTCGATATGATTTGGATTAGCACGGTAGTTTGTTTGGGCTTATATATCAGTCGCGATCGCGATTCGGTAGTCAATAAACAAAGTTTCTGGAAGTTTAATCATCAAGAAAGTTGAATAAAGCAACGTCTTTGGAACAGGATATCTACACCCCTTAATTTGTATATGCTTTTATTTAAGTTTATGAAAACTATACGTAATCATTAATTTTTATCACAAATGTTTTGCAACAACAAAGTGGTTTTTATTGAATTCAATCAGAGAACTTCAATCCACTGACTGCAATGAGAAAATATACAAATACTTGTAAAAATAACTTGAATTATATCTTCTTGAGAGATAGGTGATCCCTCCAACTTGTTACACATTTCCTTGTTGGGTTGTGACCCTCAGTGCTGCCATGTTTCCAGCATCCCAAACTCGGATTCGCCTTTTGTCTTGCCATCGTACGAGAAGATCAGAGGACCTCGTGCTCTGTATTGTTCCATCATTTCGAGAACCCTTTCGGATTGTCCATCCATAATATTGATGCTCTCTCCCGGCATTGTTGTTCTGTTCGCTGTGACATTTTTGGCGAGCCTTTCCCTCCGAACCTCGGACCTCGAGGGCTGTCCTCTGGAGTAGGTGCCTTTATTTATGTTTATGGCTTATGAGACACGACGACACTGCATTGCATTAGCTGGAGCCGGAGCTGAAGCTGCAGCCAAGTGCCTGCTCTTCGCCAAGTCCAAGTCCAGTCTGCTCCAGATGACTCCGCAGCCAGGAGAAAAAATAATGGCGCACAATGTGATTTCTCCGTTGACATTTCGGAATTTGCTAAGCGCGCGCGTTCATGTCTCATCAGCTTGTTAGGGAGTTGCAAAATGCCCCAGCTTGTGATAGAGGAGCAGATTTGAGATTAGAGAGGAGTTTTCGAAACAGTTTGGTGGCACGAAGTTATATATGTAACTAGGAATTGCTAAACACATGACGTCAATGTTTCAAGACACCTAAATAGTTAATTGTACGTTTATAGTCATCACACAAAATAATAAACCATGATGAGCTATACTATTCTATAAAGTTCTTTTAAGTACTGAATTAAGAAGTAAAAAAATTGTAAGAGTAGTTGGCGTATAAATCTGCAAATGACTATATTCCAACCATTCCAAAGGTATATATTTCAAATTAGTTTATTTAGTTGGGTAAAAATTCATAAACATATTTTTAAAAAATTCCAATTGCTTATTTTTAATATCTATTTTCCTTCTTAAGGGAACCGTAATATTTAATTATGCTCTTGTAACCACAAAGTATTTTGTATCCGTGGACGTTTTTTGAATATATATCCCACTCCCTTTCAATCACGGGTCCATCCCTAGTCGAAAGCAGGGTAATCCGATCGATTGAGACCAAATAAAAGGGGGAACGGAGCCACTTGGCGGGGCAGCAAGAGAGATGTCCATCGCAATTGGCTGGTGGTAACTGAGTTAGTAGCTGCTCCGGCTCCTCTGGCTTCTCAGCCGCATCACCGATTGCACCGCGATCCTCGACAATGACAACGACTTCGAGGATGAGGCTGAGGATTGGGATGAGGATGAGGATTGGGGATTGGGGATGGAGATCTGGAGGAGACAGAGACCCAGTCGCGTCTGTTGTTCCTCGCACGCGTGCGCATTTAACGAAATTTATTGGAGTCTTTGCTCTGGAATTTTGGGCTTGTGTTCTCTGTCTGTCTGTCACTCTGGTGGCTGGCTGGCTGCCTTGGCCTTAGCCTTTTGGCTCGTTTGGCCGAAAGAGCCCGTGGTTGGCAGCAGAAGCTGGCTGAGAGCTCTGCTTCCATTGTTGTTTGGCTCGCTTGATGCGATCGATTCGCGGGGAAAACGCATTGCCAACGGAGCACCCAAAGTGGCTAGTTTTTTTAGCCCGACCTGAGCTGGCTCTCGATCCTGGCCGCTGTCATCGGCTCAGGCATCCGCGTCCCCGGAGCGGAGTCAAGTTTTTTAAATATTTTATCAGTCGAGCGGAGTTTGGTGGAAAACGCTGATAAAGATCGCGCCACTTTTTTCTTATAGCCAGGTCGCGTAATGAGTTTGTTTCACAGCCTTTCGCAAAAAAGAAAGAGCTGCCTGGAAAAAACTGCTAAGGAATTGTCAGCCGAGTCGTCTGACAATGTGATTAGTGGTGCTGATTGGACCTTGGCTATCTAATTTTAAGCTTAACATTCTTTGAAGAAAATCGTTATAATATATTTATAATGTTTGTTAAATTTTTTAAATGTTTAAAAACCACAATTTAAAAGATTGTACTATGGATAACAAATTTATCATAGCATCATGTTGGGCTGATATTTATTTTGCTAATAGTTACTGGTTCTTCATTCTTTGGTGTGATAATTAGCATTGATTATGTTATACTATAAAGTAATAGTTGAATAGAAGTCATCATTAAAGTTCTTCCTTGGGGTATTTATCCTCCGATCCACCTAGTTGCTCCTGCTCATCCGATCGCATGTCCATGGACACCGTGGATATTTGGTGACCTGGCACTATGACTTTCCCCACCGAGATCGGCTTCTCGTACTCCGGCACAAAGGTGGCGCAGTCGAAGAGCACCAGGTTCTCGTCGTGATCCGTGCAGCTGAAGATGCCGATCAGGACGAGCTTGTTCTGGAGAACCACCCTGATCTTTCGGCCCAGCCACTTCTTCAGGGTTTTTCTGCCAGGAGAAAGGGTTTCCTCATCACCTTTCCTATTCGTGATAATAATAGGCCTGAATTTGGATGGACTGCAGGATGAGTTAGCCTCCTCGTTGTCCATCGGGCTGATCGAATGATGAATTTATCAATTTTGCTGCTATCGAATAGTTGTGGAGATGGCTCGATCCCGGCCTGCTGAATGCTAATTCGGCCGAAGGCATCCCTTTTGTGAGTGGACGACCCACGGGTATCTGGGCAGAGATCTCGGACCCAAGGGCTGTTGCACAATGCACAAAGCGCAAGAAAAAGTGTCGCCATCCATTTTGGACTTGTAACAGCCGCTCGAGCGCTTGCAACACGAATGCCTATATCCCCATATCCCATATACAGGCTGTCCGTCCTTTGATGGCCAAAACGAACTGAAAGGCGGCACAAGTCCGCAGTCGTCTGCGCAACAGTTCAAAGTTTTGAGGGCCCGCTGCCACTGCCACTGCCAATCGCTATCTGGTAGCTAAGGAGGAGGGTTGCAGGAAGGAGCTGCAGTAGGAGTTGCAGTTGGAGTTGGAGGCGATCCACAGGTCCAACTCTCGGAGCTCTCGGACTGTCCACAGGCTCCGCAGACGACGACAACCAGATCGCTGATCTCTCGAAAAAGCTGCAAGTTTTTGCTGCCGTCCGACTGTTTTGCCTACACTTCGAGGCCATCAGCAGCGTCTGGGGAACAAAAAGCGTTCGGCACAGATCAAATTGGAATTACATTGCTGACTGGTCCCGATATCGGGAGAGGGTATCGTGCACCTCCGATGTTGTAAGCTGGCAGAACGACTGATATTCGAATCTGTTCTACAATAAATACCTAAGAGCATCTACTGCTTTAATGGGTATTGAGATGGCTAACTTTAAAAGTTTGATACAAAGCAATGGTTTAATTTAAGTTGAAGAAATGTCAAAGATATTTTTTGATAATTTAAATGTTGGTAGGTATATTATTAGAATATATTTGTTTAGAAGATTGACAAAATACGAACAAAAATTATATATTCTGAGACACATATTGAGTTAAAATGTTAAAACAATGAATTACTAGTGTTATAAACAAACAATTGATTAAATTATTTATTAATTCCTAATAATTTAACATGCAAAACTAACAACCTTAAAATTTGGTACAAATGTGGCTTAAATTAAAGTTATACAACAACATTACAACATAAAGTCACGCAATTTTTCATATCTGGAACCTCAGTAAAAATCAGGAATCGCGATCTAGAAAGAGTATCCCCCATTCAACCGCCATTCCAACCTCAAATTCTGGCTGGGGCAACAGCAGCTCCCGACATTGGCGATCGATCGCATTTGATATATTTGCTCCTCGAGCTCCGCGACTGTTTGCCAACTGCGGATTTGGACGTGGTGGCAATGGCGTCGTCGTCCCAGCCTCCAGCCCCCTTCCCCCGCCCCCTGCCTCCTGCCTCCTCCAGTGTTCTTTGTTGTCCATCCGCTGGCGATTGTTGTTGCTGCTGCCACGGCAGAGCAGGCGATGTTGCTGGTAGCCGCTGCAACAGAAACTGCAACTGCAACAGTTGCAGCAATTGCCGCTGCCTTGCTACACCTTCGCAAAAGTCAACTGAGGATGGAGGATGGAGGATCGGGGATGGGGGACTGGGGATTGGGGGATTGTGGATTGGGGGACGGAGGACGGAGGACGAGGCCGATCATCGAATGCGCCCCGATCTCCTCGCAGTGTTTATGTCGTTTATGTGAAATATCAGCTGCTCATGTCGAGAATGTTTTTGCTGCCTTGTTGCTTCTGCCACTTTTTGCGGCTGCCCCGTGTTGGTGTTGCTGCTTTCGGCTCAGCAGCGTTTTGTTTATGGCATTGGCGGCCATTGGTCAGCGATTGGCTGCCGCTTGAGTTTCAAATCTCTACACTCCGATCGCCAAGCGGCCATAAAGTAAATTATAGCAGCAACATTGCGGCATCGTTGCCGGAGAATTATGTGGGGGAGCATCTAACGATTTCGTGTGCATACATTTGCACTACATTCTGCACTTTTGCACCTAATAAAATTGTGAATATGTACGAATAGTGGAAGAGTAGGTTTCACGCATACTAATTGATAGAGATTGTCTGGTCTGATTAACTTGTTGCTTTACATTTATGAATTCAAAATTTGATTTTTTAACCATAACTTGCTTTTAAGGAAAGTGTAAGAAAGTACAGAGAATAAACATTTGAAAGATGTGTTTATCGTCTCTTGGTAAATTTAACACAATTGAAATTAAAAAGCGGCTTAATAATTTTGCGCAATAGGAGGTTCTTGAGGCTAGAGTATTTCAAATACGTTACAATTTAATTTAAATATTTATTTTCTATATTTGTAGTTTTTGTTGAGTTAATAATGATTTTTTTGTTTTGTTTTTTTCTCTTATGAGAAGGTAACAGTAGTAACTATCGAGTAGTATTTCTATTTTATTTATTTAAAATGATCTTTTATATGAAATTTTATTGATACCAACTTAAGTATTTCTAATTTCCCACATAAATTAAATTGAAGTATTAATGGTTCTCCTTTACTTATGACTTCGTACTACCCACTCCGTTTGACCTTCCACGCGTGTACAAAATAAGCATTTACTTACCTGTTTAAGTGGCCTCAAATTGCTGCAAACAAAACGCCTTCCTTCAGCAAAATTCCCTCTGAGGGAGAGTCGCAGATTAATTACGCGTACGACAGTCACTTAGAAGAGTCACACTGGGATGTGTGAGAACCATTTTAGCTACCTGCCACAACTTTCACCGAGCGGAATCGGCGGATCGCCTTCTGGTAAACGCAGAGTAATCCGCACTAATCCATCAGAAAAAGGGGCCATCGCAATGTTGGCAAATGCGATTTTCCCGGCAACTGCATCAATGTCAAAACATCTCCGCGCCGATTCCCCGCGGAGGAACGTGTGTTGGCATAACAGTTGCACATTTGCATCCCGTGTCCGATGGACAACAATGAGGCAAACCCGGGACACCGATCTGATTTATGTCCTGCAGAATTTCACTTTCGATGCAGTTGCAGTTCATCACCGGGGATTCGTCTGACACTCGGGCTCAGTCCCATAGTTCTATGGTTCTCCCTTTTCTGGACTAGTCTTTCCGCTTTCCCTCGTAAATCACTCAAGCACTAAGTCTCCTGCTTGACGTCACCCGTCAAGACAAAGAAACGGTCGCAATTTTGTCAATCCAAAGGGCTACCGAAGTGAAAGTGACCCGACTTGCCCGTGACCAATTTCGTTGAATTCCTTTGTTGGTTTTCGGGGGTAATTAGAATTGTTTTGCCTCTATTCATGGCGAGATTTTCCAAAAGAGCAGAAAATAGGAAATGGTTAAGTTGAGGTCTGCAAAAAATGAGAACTAAAATCAATTAATATAAAATTATTATAAATTTGTTAAAAATTTGTTGTATGGAAAATATTGCATACAGTTTTAAATAATTCTGCAATTCAGTAAGTATATAATACAAAATTTAAACTACCAAAAATTCATCGGACTTATAAGAAATTGAATGAGCCTACACTTTATGTAAAGCCATCCATCAAATAATTAATAACCTTTAATTTCCTGAAATAAGCCCAAAAACAAAACTTTCAATAAATTCCAGATTCTCGCCAACTATAAGCATTTTCCATGCATTTTCCGCTCCTCCGTGCACCTGTTGTTGTTTTTGTTTCCGGTCGCTGTTTGTTTTGGATTTTGTTTTATGTCTTAAATATTTTTGACAAACAATCGCCGGCGGTTAATTTTAATTGGATTCTGACAAAACACCGACAACAAAAATAACAGCCGTCTGCACACTGAGCAAAATCAACAAAAATGAACGACCGCGGCGGCAACAACAAAATCCTTTTAATAAAATTAAACATCAAACATGGCGTGGAGTTTTTTGTCGTATTACGCTGACAGGCGCAGGATTTAAATTAAAAACACGCCAAGTCCACAACAACACAGTCGAGGCGAAGATCAAAAGGCATCAAAAATGGTTATGTGCCAAGAGGCAGAGGTAAGTCCTCCCACTCCTCCGCGTCCTCTTCCCGTTCTTCCTCTTCTTCATCCACCCACAGGAGCAAGGCGAAAAAACCCCGCCGAAAACGAAAAACTTTTACCAGCGTCGACGGCGGCGAAACGGAAACGGAAATCGACGCGCAAAAGGTTGCAGGTGTCATGTGACAAGGTCGGGAGGCTGTGGGGCGGTGGGTGGTGGTTTGGACCTGCCACGCGCACAAGTTCGCGCAGGATTGGGTGGACTGGGGGTCAACTGGGGGGTTCCTCCGCCAATTGATTAAGCGTGCGTTAAAAACGCGAACGCAGCTCGAAAAAAAAAACTAAAATCAAATCAAAGTGTTGAAGCGGTTAAGATTCCGAGCGTCCGGAATGGGTTAAAGGTTGCTCGACGACCTGCAGGTGAACGGGGTTAATTTGTTGCGTCTCCAGGCATATGGCGCCCACTTTCTCACTCTCTCCTGCCGGGAATTGGTCCCCAAGGCTTAGAACGCGAATCATTAAAAAAATTCAACGAGTTGTCTGGCCTTAAATTAAGGACAAAGAAAGCGCTCCCGCGAAAGAGAAAGCCAAAAACAATTGAGTCGAAACGCCAGCGGCGGCTGCAGGTGAAGGAGCAGTGGAGGTATGAGTCGAGGGCCCCACGTTGGGCGCCATTTAAGTGACAGCGTTGCCATAATTTTAAATCGCGAGCTTTTCGAGTATCGGAGCCGAGTCGAAACCAGAGAAAGAACGAAAGAATGAAGGTATTGGTAACCGTCAGTCACTGTAGGCTTTGTTTGTGTGGGAGTGGGTGGCTTTTTGGGGGTGGGACAGTCTTGGTCTTTGGGGTTGGCATAAGAGAACTATTAAAGTGTTTTATGGTGGCCGAGACAAGGCGAGCGTTGCAAAAAGGGCTGGGGGAGAAATAAATGGCAACAGGGCCCGCTCCTGGACGAACGTAGCCAACAAGATTTAGAGGTTTTTCCACGGCATTCCTCTTCTTTTTGGGGGTTTTCTGTGGCTTTCTTTATCTCTTAGGTGTGCCCGAGACAGACTAAAGACTGATGAGTGGGTGGGTAGATTGCAAT